CCCCCCCCCCCAGCCCTGCTCCTCCCTGGCTCCGGGCTTGGGTGCCCCGCGGGGGTCCTGCCCCGGCCGCCTTCATCCCTGTCCCCTTTCCCGGGAGAGGTGGGCGTGGAGGCGGGCTGCGGCCCTTTGTCCGGCCCCGCCGGCCGGTGAGGCTGACCGGGACTGGACTGGCCCAGACCCCGAGCGCGGCGAGGTCTGCGCCGTTCCCCGCGCGGCCGGCTGAGCTGCGCCCCAGTGCTGAGGTGTACCTTGAGCCTCAGTTTCTCCGCTTGGAAACAGCCTCCTGGACACAGGGCCTGCTGTGCTGTTGGTGTCCTCGGGCGCCCCCAGAGCGGCACCTTCCTGCTCTCGAGAGCCGTGGGACTAGACCCTGGCTTCCCCGCCTGTCCCCAGCCCTACCTGGGCTGCCCTGGGCTGGGACCCGCTTGGGGACCCGCGGAGGCCCAGTGACTTCCCTGGGAAAAACCCACGTGAGACTAGACAGCTGGCCTGAGACCCACGGAAGGGCTTGGCTCAGGGTCTCTGGGGTGGCCCTAGTGGGCGATCCCCAGTTCTGGGTCCCCCTGTCCAGCCTGGCTCAGTTCCCTCAGGGCTTAGCCCAGGGCCACAGTTGGTGAAGCTCTGAGTCCACCACCTTATCTTGCCACAACAGCACCCCACACCCACTGCCCCGCGCCCACCGCCTGCTTCTCCACATTCCAGTTTTCCCTAAGGACAGAACCTGTCCTTCACCTTCAGAACCTTCACCTGACAGAAACAGCCCGGAGTTTAGGGCAGAGGCCCAACCCTGGCCGAGGGCTAGCAGAGCCTGCTCCCCAGCCGAGCATCCTAGACCCAGGCTGCTGCTCTGAGGCCCTGGGGTCCCCCGATGCTCCTCCTGGGGAGCAGAGGGAGGCCAGCCAAGAGCCTGTGGCCTCATTCTCTGCAGGAGCTCCCATCCCAGCTCTGAGTAAATCAGGGCAGGGAGGGCGTGCCCGTGGCCCAGTGCTGGCTGGCCCCGTGGGCAGCTTCTCTGGCAGCTGGTGGACAGGAAGTAACTAGCAGTAGGCCTCCTGTGGGGTGCTGGGACCCCTTGGCCCAGCGATCCTGCATACTGATGAGGCTTCTTGACTGGAAAACCTCAAGGCCAGTCTCCACTGCCAGCCAGCTCTGAACACCCCACAGTGCCCTTGGCCTCAGTTTCCCTCAGGTCACAAGGGAGAGACACCTGTGTGTGTGTGTGTGTGCGCGCGCGCGTGTGCTTGAGACACAGTGTTGGCAGATAGCTTAGACTGGTCTCTTAACTCTTGCTCTTCTTCAGCCTCCTGAGGTCTGGAATTACAAGCATGTACCACTGCGTCCTCTTCATGAATTTGGTGCATTAAGCACATGTGCAGTGTTGTACAGCCGTCACCACTGTCCATCCCCAGGCCTCTCACCTTCCCAACATTCACTGTCCTCTTAAATGCGCCCCCCCACGGTGCCCTGCCCCCAGCACTGACCCTTGACTTCCTGCCTCGATGGATTTGGTGTCCCTGGGGACTGAAGTAGAATCCTGCAAGATTTCTCCTTCTGGCTCAGTTCTCAGCCTCAAGGCCCACTGCTGTTGGAGCATGTGTCAGACTTTTTCTCCTGCCTGCCGCTGAGCCCTGTTCCCCGCTGTGGGGGACGTTGCCTGTCCTGCCTAGACACCAGACTGCCTAGTTCTTGCTGCTGTCAAGAACTTGGGGTGGCCGGGCGCTGGTGGCTCACGCCTGTAATCCTAGCTACTCAGGAGGCTGAGATCCGAAGGATCATGGTTCAAAGCCAGCCTGGGCAGGAAGGTCTGTGAGACTTATCTCCGATAAACCATCCCCAAACCGGAAGTGGCGCTGTGGCTCAAGTGGTAGAGCGCTAGCCTTGAGCGGAAGAGCTGAGGGGCAGCACCCAGGCCCAGAGTTCAAGCCCCATGACCAGGAAAAAAAAAAAAAGGAAAGAACGAACAAACAAACCTGGGGTAGACTGGGAACATGATGTGATGAGTGTCTGCCTAGCACGCATGGAGCCTGGGCTCACTTCCTCAGCACCACATACACAGAGAAGGCCAGAAGTGGCGCTGTGGCTCAAGTGGTAGAGTGCTAGCCTTGAGCAAAAGAAGCTCAGAGACAGTGCCTAGGCCCTGAGTTCAAGCCCCAGGACTGGCAAACCAAAAACCAAACCAAACCCAAAACAACTCAGGGTACAAGTCTGTGTCCGTTACTGCTTCACTGGGCGTGCTGGGCTAGGGCTGGCCCTCCAAAACAGGTTCTCCTGCTGGTCTTGGATCAGCTGGGACTTCCTGCCTTACACAGACCTGGGTGGCCACATGACCTCCAGCCTGGCAGCTCAGCAGCTCACTTGACCTTGTACCAGGAAGTGTTAGGGAATGAGGGTTGGTACAAGGAATGTGTGTGCATGCATGTGTGTGCACATGCTGGTTTTAGGATTGAACTCCGAGCCTGGGTACTGTCCATGAGCTTTTTTTTGCCTATGTCTGGAGCTTTACAGCTTGAGCCACAGCTCCACTTCAGCTTGGTGATTAATTGAAGAGTCTCTTGGACTTTCCTTCCTGGGCTGACTTTGAACTGCAGTTCTCCAATCTCAGCCTCCTGCATCACCAGGATTACAGGCGTTACCGCTGGCACTAGGCCTTTTAAAGTTTGTACCTGCTCACAAGAATCTGGCTGCAGACTGACCCTGGTGTGTGCCAACATGGCCAAGGAGCAGAGGGGACGGCGGGACGGCCAGTGAGCGGGTGCTGAGCTGGGGCAGCCCATCTTGAGGGTCCTCAGGTGGTCTTTCCCCCAGCAGGGCCGGCTCCCAGGCCTCAGGGTCAGGTATGCCCTGCTTATCTGGCTGGGCATCTTCGCGGGCAGCTGGATGGTCTATGTGCACTATTCATCCTACTCGGAGCTCTGCCGCGGCCACGTCTGCCAGGTGATGATTGTAAGTCTGCCTGGGGCTGGGGCTGTGGCAGGTGAGGTGGAGCAGGGGTGGGGGTGAAGGGAAGCAGGAGGGGGCAAGGCTGCCGTAGCGGGGCACCTCCTCCCAGGGAGGCAGTGCCAGGTTGGGGCTGTCCCATGAGGCTGTACACCCAGGAGCCTGCGTGGAAGTAGCACAGAGCTGCTTGTTGGTGTCTGTGGATGTGGGGGTGACACCCCTCCTGAAGGCTGGTCCTGGGGCGTGGACCCCACCCCGTCCCAGTCTGTGGGTGAGGACACGAGGAGCTGCCTGTCCCCCCTCTGTGCAGACTTGCCATTCCCTCCCCAGGATGGACATGGTGCCCTTGGACAGCGGGGAGGGGAGACGCCCCCCGCCTGGGTGGCTATGGTGGCTTCCCGCAGGTGGCCTTGGGTTGCTGGGGCTCAGGCTGTCGTGTGGAAGGCCTGTAACCGCGTTGAACGCTAGGGAAGGGCCTGACCCAGAGGCAGGCTTGCAACTGAAGAGCCAGTATCATTTCCTGCTGCCACCGGACAGCCACTTCCTCCTGGCTCAGCTCTGGCTCCTACACCCAGAGTGGTGGTGGGGTGTTCAGCCTCTCCCCCACCCCCCCAGGCCTGGCTCCATAGCAGCAGTGATGCTCAGGATCAGGGACTGCCAGATTCCATGCCCCCAGGAGGGTCTCAGGAGTCTGGCTAGTTGGGTAGCCTGGACAGAGGAGGAATGTGGGGCCCTAGGAGGGCGTCTGTCACCAGCTCTGACACGGAGCAGCCCTGAGGAGCTGGAAGTTAGTTACCTTCTCAGCATGGGCCAAGAAAGGGGCCTGTGGCAGTGTACCACAGCAACCACAGGACCAGGTCCGCACCGTGGGGTTGCTGTCTTACTTCAGTCTAGGGTGGGCTGAGCCAGACCATGGTCTGAGGATGGGTGGAGTGACCTGACACTTGCTGAGCCGCTGCCTGGGAACCTTCAGCCACTCTGGGCTCCAGAGCCGAGCCGTTGGTGCTAACCTCATGCTCAGCCCCAGCCCCCCATACTTCTGTCATCCTGAGGTCTAGATGTCCACGATCAAGGTCCCTCTCGTGGGCCCACACTTTCACTGAAGATGGTGGTCCAGTCTCTTGGAGGGGACCTCTAGCTGAGGCAGGGCCTGGTTCTTCTGAGACAGGCTCACTTAAAGCCTGGGCTAGGGGGTTGGGAAGGCGGCTCAGTGGTAGAGTGCTTGCCTCACACGCATGAGGTCCTGGGTTCAATTCCTCAGCACCACATAAGGAGAAAAAGCTGGAAGTGGGGCTGAGGCTCAAGCAGTAGAGCGCTTGTCTACAGCTGGAGAGCTGAGAGACAGCGCCCAAGCCAAAAAAAAAAAAAAAGCCTGGCCTGGAAGGCCTGTCAGGTGGCAAGGCCTCTGGATCAGCTTCAAAGGCCAGGCAGCACCCTCAGGAGCTGGGACACAGGGACCTTGGGTCAGCTGTCACTGGCAGCAGCCAGGCCCATCCTACGTGTGCCAGGACTCAGAACTGGGCACAGTGGGTGCTGGGGCAAACTGGCAAGTGTGGCCAGCTGTGGGCCAAAGTGCCCACTCTCACAGCCACCGATGGCAGCTTAGCCTTGCCAGTTGGCCCCCTGCTCTGGGGCCCCGGGGGGAGTGACCACAGTGGGCACCTGTATGTCTTTCAGTGTGACCAGTACCACAAGGGCATCATCTCTGGCTCCATCTGCCGGGACCTGTGTGAGCTCAACAGGGTGGAATGGAGAACCTGCCTGTCCTCGGCTCCAGGGTGGCAGGTGCAGGGCTGGGCAGGGCTGGGCGGGCCTGGGTGTGGCCACATTGCAGTGGGAGGGATCACTTAGCTGGAGTACCTTCTCATCTTGTCCAGGTGTATAGTGGACTTTGGCAGGACAAGGAGGTGACCATCAAGTGTGGCATCAAGGAATCCTTGAACCCTCAGAACCCCCGGCGGGAGCTGGTGCTGTTTGACAAGCCCACCAGGGGCACCTCCATCAAGGAGTTCCGAGAGATGACCCTCAGCTTCCTGAAGGTCAGCGCACCTGGGTGTGTGGGTCTGGTTGGGCTGTGATGTGTCCAGGGACATGCAGGCCCCTGGAGCTTCAGCTGCTGACAAGCATGCATGAGGGTACGTGCTCCTGCAGCTCTAACACCTGCCTTCTTTTTGGGTTCTGGTGCCAGGCGAACCTGGGAGACCTGCCCTCCCTCCCAGCGCTCGTGGGCCAGGTCCTTCTCATGGCTGACTTCAACAAGGACAGCAGGGTGTCCCTGGCTGAGGCCAAGTCTGTGTGGGCTCTGCTGCAGCGAAACGAGTTCCTACTGCTGCTCTCCCTGCAGGAGAAGGAGCATGCCTCTCAGCTGCTGGGCTACTGTGGGGACCTCTACCTTACTGAGGGCACACCCCATGGCTCCTGGCACGGGACCACACTGCCACCAGCCCTGCATGCAATGCTGCCCTCTGCCCTGCACAGAGCCATCCAGCAGTGGTTCAGTCCTGCTTGGCCCTGGCGCGCCAAGATTGCCATCGGCCTCCTGGAGTTTGTGGAGGAGCTCTTCCATGGCGCATATGGCTCTTTCTACATGTGTGAGACCACACTTGCCAATGTGGCCTACACGGCCACCTATGACTTCAAGATGGCTGACCTGCAGCAGGTGGCACCCGAAGCCACTGTGCGACGCTTCCTGCAGGGCCGCCACTGTGAGCAGAGCTCGGACTGTACCTATGGGCGGGACTGCCGGGCACCATGTGACAGGCTCATGAGGCAGTGCAAGGGTGACCTCATCCAGCCCAACCTGGCCAAGGTGTGTGAGCTGCTGCGAGACTATCTGCTGCCGGGTGCGCCTGCTGATCTCAGCGAGGAACTGGGCAAGCAGCTGCGTACCTGCACCACACTGAGCGGGCTGGCCAGCCAGGTGGAGGCCCACCACTCGCTCGTGCTCAGCCACCTCAAGACCCTGCTCTGGAAGAAGATCTCTAACACCAAGTATTCCTGACACCTGGATGCCTCCAATGCCTCCCTCCTTATCCCTCCAGCAGGGGCCGGCCCCGCCCTCCACCACTCCTCACCCAGGCAAGCTCCAGTTGGGAGGGGACCTCACTTAGAACTCATGTAAATAAACCACTTTTATGTGACGCATGGCATGTGGACCGCTGGATCCCCCCAGAGTCCCAAGCACTTAGCAGGGAATGCAGCAAATGCAGACCACAGGCCCAGAAGCCAGCTTCCTCACCCCACTAGAGAGCCAATTAAGGGGCTGTATGTCAACTAAGTGCTCCTTTCTACCTCTGGAGCCTAAAGTACAGTGACCAGGCTTCAAGTAATGGTGGACTGAGCAAGACAAAGGTGTTCCAGAAAGGGGAGGTATAGCAGGGCCCTGGTGGCTCATACCTCTGACACTTAACTATTCAGGTGGTCTAAGATCTGAAGACCATGTTTCAAAGCCAGCTCAGACAGTCCACACTCCAGTTAACTTCCAGAAAACTGGAAGTGGCACTGTGCCTCCAAGGGGCAGAGTAGAGTGCCAAGCCTCGAGCAGAGCTCAGGGACAGCACCCAGAGTTCAGGCTCCAGACCCAGGGGGAAAACAAAAGGCGACATCCACATAAACATCTTTTAATAACTGGGACATAAACCTCACCATGCAGGAAACAGCAAAAGACAGTATATTTTGCGCCCAGGGGCCCAGCTAGTGGCGTAGCGTATTCCTGTGACCCCAGCTACCCAAGCCAACAAGGGCAGCTAGCCAGTGGCGATGGTACCAGGAACTGACAGCAAAGGGCAATGTACCCTTTACACGCCAGCACACAAACCCAAGTTCATCCCAGAGGCACTCAGCACTGGCGAAGGGGACTTGGCCACGACAGCAGAAACCAGCGGCAGGGCGGCCCTGCATCATCTCTGGAAAATGAAAACAGATGATGGTTGGCCATCTGTGGCTCGGGCCTGTAATCCTGGCTGTTCAGGAGTCTGAAATCTGAAAGGCAAGCCTAGGCAACAAAGTGCTAGCCTGGGGAAGTGGCTCAAGTAGTAAAGCACTAGCTGTGCGCTAGCAAGCCAAGCATAGACCAGACCAGGGCTTTTCTGGAACCAGGAAGTAACTTTTCAGGTGATTCAGTCCTAGGACAAGGCTTGGCTGTGTGCAGTCTGCTCCACACCTCAAGGGTCCCTCCCCTTCCCCCAGCAGTTATGCTGCCAGGTGTTTTCTCATGTCTCCCCTAACCGCACCAAGCCATGCTTGTCTGGGGACACTGCTACATCCCATGCTTCCATTTTGGCTGTGAAATGTTAGGCTATAAACCATTCTTAGTGCTCACTGGCTTCTGAACACTGAGCGTAGAAATAGCCACTTGCTCTCTGCCCCGACGTCACAGGTGCAGCATGGCAGCTGTGCCCGTGGTGCTGGTGCGTGCGGGACAGCGTCCGCAGGGCAGTTGCTCATACCAGCCGCAGCCAGCCTCCTCTTCTTACCTGGACTAGGCCAGCGGTGGCCACCATTTTGGCCTTGACTTGCACTGTAAGCAGACATAATCACCTTTCTCTCCTGAAATAGAGAACAGCCAGTCAGGGTACAGCACTCTTATTCACGGGACACGCTCCTGTGGAGGAGGCTGCACCTCTTCACCTCCTAACTTCTATTAGCTGGTTAAATATCAGACAGCAGCCAGGAGAAACATTAGGACAATCTCACAAATCCTCATTTAACTGTGGTGGGGGCAGAACCACCATTCCTGATGGTCACTGGAAGATTACAAAGTCCGCAGCTCACTGCCTTGGCAATGCTCAGCAGTGTGACTACTACCTTCCTAGAGAAAGGAACTTGCCCTATTACCCTTGGAACAGCCTGGTCAGAGTGGGGCTGATCACGCCCTGCTTTCTCAGGGAGTGAACTCTGGAGGCTACTATTTTCAGCAAGTCAACCCATAAGTAAAAGTTCTTTCACCTCTTCTGGCGACTGCAGCATGGACACAATCAGGTGTCAGGCTACTAATCATTCAGATGTTCACAGGTTAGAACACTGAGCGTAGACATAGCCTCTCTGCTCTCTGCCACCTGTGGACACACGTGTGACACTGCAGCCACACCTGCAACGCCTCTAGGGGCAGCATTACGGTGAAGTCACCCATGCTTTCAAACACCAACTTACCCACGATGTCAGCATCTCCATCTCCTTACAGATGCCTAGTTTCCTCTGAAAATTCCGCACAGGTCAAGGCTAGTCCATAGTGGGACCCTGCAAACGGTCCCAGAGGGCTGCTCGGTCATGTCCGGAATCTCAGCTGATGCCAGATGGGGCAGAAAAGTCTCTCAGGAGGCTGAGATCTGAGGATCGCGGTTTAAAGCCAGCCCCGGCAGGAAGGTCCGTGAGACTTATCTCCAATTAATCACTAGAAAACCGGAAGTGGCGCTGTGGCTCAAGTGGTAGAGCGCCAGCCTTGAGCTGAAGAGCTGAGGGGCAGCGCCCAAGACCCGAGTTCAAGCCCCACGACTGACCAAACGAGCGAAAAGCTGTGCGCGGCGCTGTGGCTCAAGTGGCCCCTCACTAGTGCGGGTCGAGAGCGTGCAAGCCCGCGTCCGACTCCGCGCGCGCCGCTCGGACCCGCGCCG